ACTTCACTGACAAATGAAAGATATTATTGAAAGACTGTAACTCAAAGCTTGAAAAACGGAAAAAGATAAAGTTGCATATATTAATGGCAGCATATCATTTTCGTGCTATAATAAATCGTATATAACAAATTTTATACCGTCATTTTAGTTAGCCATTAAACTTTTCAAGTTCTTAGTCTCTCATCATCCTTTATAATTCTGTTTTGTGTCAGACTTGGAGATCTTACAGTTGAGAGTCTGCGGTTCCACATCGGTCAAATGTCCTTGGTTTTTGTGGATGCAATATGTCAAGTTCAAGGTCAACTTTAAATGTTAAATGATCTCCAGGATAAATGTTTTGTCTCAGCTAATACATTTAAAAGAAAAAGTCGGGGAGGGATATAAATTTCAGTGCATATAGTCAATACCGTAAAAAAGTTTGTGGGACAGCTAAAATAATGGAGTGCTTTATTTAAGCGAGAAAATGAGGCAATATAATTTTCAAGAATGAAAGCAAACAACACGGGATGTATTTATTTCTAACCCAAAATAATGATGTACAAACCTTGTTACATACTATTTCATTTTTGAGAGATTACATTAATATTTTTTTTCCATCAGGTGTAGTTGCGAAAATTTGTCACATGCGCTAACGGTATTTGATTACTACGTAATCACTTATAAAAGTTTCATTTGTCTTTAGTTTGCTTTTGCTAGGCTTCTAGTGGTCAATAAACACAGGAAAATATTATAACGTATCGAGTCCACTGGAGTAAAATTCTGATCACATCTGGACAATATCAGAACTCGCACTGAGCCACTTATGTGTTCAAATGTTCAAATTAGTCTCCTATCTTTTGTGAAATTTACCTGATAGGAGAACGGCTATCTTGTATTTCTATAAATGTATTCCTTGTCCTTACATAATGGTCTGTAGTTGATGTTTTGTTATCTTTATAAGTCTACAGGCAAAATTAGGGCAAATGGACGGCCATCGCCGCGTTCTTTTCCCCGAGGCAGACATTTTCGACAGAAAGTGACACACGCTCGTTAACAGTCCTAAATCAAAGCGCCACGGGAAATTGGACGGTATAGATAGACCGGATTTTTTTTCTTTCTGAAAGTACTCAACGTCATTGTGGGATGTTGCTGAAAAACTAACCTGGGTCTGCCTGACGTAGGATTTCTGGCGACCTGAAATAGTCGTTTTGGCGCTGATTCTTACATCTGAATTTATCAAATATGACACTGTTTGCTTCGAAATGTTGACCGTTGGTGTCTACGGACAACTAATGGTCTCAAAAGACAATCCCTTACTTGTACGTTTATGTCATTTCTTTAACAGTAATACTAGGTTAGGTTTTTTTTTTTTTTTTTTTTTTTACATGTAGCAACAAATCTACCTGAAGGTATATTCCATATGAATATCATTCTCTAACAATACGTGGAAATCTTGATATTCTTGCCATACACAAATACAATATGAATGAAAAGAAGTCATTATTAACGAAATTAACAATTATTTGTAAACATATTTTACGTTGCCTGAAATGGATTCAGCTAGGACTAAATGCTTAAGTGTATCGAACACTACAAATAAAGCAGAAAAGCAGACTTCCTTCACATAAATTTCAATCTGACTTGAGTATAACTAGTTTTTTTTAATACCAAGAGGAACAATTCTAACTTCAATTACGTCCGTTTCAAGTACTTATGCTGTTTCTTTGGTATGCAAACTGAGAGAGAGAGAGAGAGAGAGAGAGAGAGAGAGAGAGAGAGAGAGAGAGAGAGAGAGAGAGAGAGAGAGAGAGAGAGAGAGAGAGAGAGAGAGGCCATTTAGTTATTTAGTTTCGAATTTTACAACCAAACCAAACCTCTTCATTTCTTTTACTAGCTAACTGTATAAACCATTGATCATGTAATTTATATTTATATCTATATTTTTTAAAAATGTTTCTAATCTACCGCCATTCAATTATAATATTAGTTAAAGGTTATGGTGAAATGTGGACTTTATATTAAATGTCTATACATATAATTTATTCATTTTATCAAATTTTAATTTTGGATAGCTCGACAAAGAGGGAGGGACATCTGTCATTGCCTACATGCATAACGTAATGGAGAGGCTTACGTAGAATCGGCCCCCAAAATGAAGACTTCGTGCCCCTTGATAGCTGGCGTTTATTTTTTAGCCAGAGGGCACGTGCTATTGATTTTTGGTCCTACAGTACGTATTCGCCACTTCTACTTCACCTCTAGACGAGTAGAATCCAACTTTTCGCTGCAAATTTTGAGGATATACTAGCATTATAGTTCATACTGTTGAATTAAAAATATTGCTTAATCCGTGCTTTAGAATTCGACATTAAGCACAACTACGTACCTTCTACTCTGACAGGTCCAGGGGATTACCTTGACATAATCACGGTTACATACGGTGACGGTTGTACTAAGCTGTCGGATGGTCACTCATAATGGTTTGGTCTCGGCATACTGGCGAGTCTGATCAAGAAGTAGGCGCTCTTCTTGAACGAGGACATTGATCATGAGTTATTTCAGAAATAATGTTTTTATTTGAAGATGTCAAATATCTGACTCGGGGCTTGAAGTTCAGCGTGTTCTGACACTTTTGTGTTGTGGAGAGATATGTTTTTGAAACAACGATTAGACAACTTGTTTCCGTTTCGTGTATATTGAGACGAAAAAATCAAAGGTAGATAGCTTAACATGAAGGTGGGGTTAAAAAAATACATCAAGGTTTACATGGTTCTGATAAACTCCATACACACAATAAAATTTGCCCTAATATTAGGATCAATTGCAACAGTAAAGGAATTCAAACAGATATTGAAAATAATTTATCACACACTTTGGATTGCATTAAATTGCGTTGGCCTTAGAATATCCTTTTGCATTCATAATGAAATATTATATTTACGCCTTTATCTTTATCGGATATCTACATTAAAATAGAAAAATACGGAAAATTAAAAAAGTCAATAAGTTTTTAATTTTTTAAAACAAGGATTAGACAACGGTGATATCCTGTGACCTTATAAAGGATTGACTGTAGTTGACACACAAGCCAGCATATATTTCGTAAAATATTTAAAAGAGAACGGAGCTAAAGAATTGTTCCCGTTTTTTTAAACTACTTACACAATATGCATATGAAAATTGTTTGTTACTTTCTGTTATCAACCAGAGATTGTGTTAGTGCACTTTTGAATACGAGTTTAATGTACCAAGTCTGAGACTGAAATCTCTCTCTCTCTCTCTCTCTCTCTCTCTCTCTCTCTCTCTCTCTCTCTCTCTCTCTCTCTCTCTCTCTCTCTCTCTCTCTCTCTCTCTCTCTCTCTCTCTCTCTCTCTCTCTCTCTCTCTCTCTCTCTCTGTGCAACCCAGTATAGTTTCAGGACCAGAATTCTTTACGGCATCCTAGGCGAGATCTGGGCCCCAGATTGAATGCCTTTTCAAGACTTCTTCTATTGGCATCTTAAATTAGTTTTGGACAAGATCGTAGATCTTTTCAAAACATCTTCTCCAACAGAGTGATTTCATTCCTAGATTTATCCAAAGATTAGTCTTCGGTAAGCCTTGGTCTCGAGTTCCAATAAATATATTGCTTTCATTATAGCATATGATAATGCAGGATATTAGATCATAAACTTTTGCAAAGACAAGAAAAATTAAAACTTATTGACTTTTATAATTTTCCGTATTTTCCTATTTTGATGCAGATATCCGATAAAACTTGTCACAGTTATCATAACCTCATTTGGGAAAACCTCTCAGCTCCCTATATCTCAATTTATAAAGTACTGTCATTATTCTTATGTCAGAGCCTTCTTCAGGCATAGGGCAATTGTGCCAGCATTACGCATCTAGTCCCGCTCTTTTTGTAATGAATTCCATGGACAAACAAATATGATTAGCCGCCATTGATATAAATTATATAGAAATCGTTTAAACAAGACCGAAATCTACGAAATCTAAAAGATATCAAGATTTATTAAATTATTATCCACAGTACGTCATGAATTTTTAATTTCTTGCTTATCTAAAATATAGGATATTTATTTTTGTATATATTTGTTTTAACGTGACGCTTGACATGATCCGTGCTAGAAGAGGAAAATGAGCAAACAAAACGTAGCTGACGTACATACTAAACCAATCTGGTGGTGATTTGAGGATGTTTTTTTTTTTTAAAGCCGATAAGTTTATTAAAATTTTTGACATATCCCCACTAAAGCCCATCCACACCACCCTAAAAAAATCACTGAAGATAGATAGTAGAATTAGTTGTAATATACCTTATTCACGAATAGTCATCGTCAGTGACATACAAGACAAATCGTGTGATCGGCCTTAATAGAAACTTCTAAACTTTAATTAATTTTAAGTTGTATGAAAATCAATGGAATCAAAAACTTTCCTTATGCAAGACTTTCCTGAAATTATTGCTTTGTGAAAAATATTTTAGAAAATTATCAAAATTATCCGCGCTTGAATACTTTAAACCCCCAAACTCACACCCCACCGACCCAAGAAAAACAGGAGACATATAATCTGCTGAGACGAGGTGTGGCGGAACAATCACATCTTCTCCGTTTCGTTTGACGAGGCATATTACAAATAAATATAAAAGAAATAAGAAACTGTGCAGGCCATATTTGATCTGATAAAGAAAAAGTTTTGTCGAAGTTACCTACAGCCCTCTTCTGTCTGAAGCGCCAATTCGATTCGTAGTAGTAACAGAAGTAGGTGAGGTGATGTGATGTGATGTGATTATGATTTTTAACGTAGCTTTAACAATTTTCAGTCATATCGCTACGATGTCTGCAGTGTGGCAGTTTATAGTGATGTCTAGCACTGCATCTTGCCGCAGTCATGTAGCATGATGTCCCACCCAGTCACATTATCCTGACACCAGACCGACCAGTCCTAACACTAACCTTTTAATGCTGAACGCCAAGCGAGGCAGCTGTTAGTACCATTTCTGTAAGTCTTTGGTATTACTCGAAATGGGATCAAACTCACGACCTCCCGCTTTCGAGGCGAACGCTCTAATCACTAGGCCACCGGAGTGGTAGTAACAGAAGTATCGTTATCTTATTATGTGTATGTATGTATGTGTGTGTATAGTTAACATATGAAATACTAACCAGTTTTTGTGTATGGGAAGATTCTCTTCAAAAGAATGTAATGCTCTGGGAGTAGTTTGTGTCTTTTATGTTTGCGATGGGTTAAGTCCGATCCATATATCTTCACGGTTGCTGACAAAATTGTACACAATATCAAAGTAGTTTTCATCACGATTATCTGAATGATTGACATTTACTGATTTTTACAACTGGAAAGGTAGGCAGGTGAGGCTGAATATATGGAATCGCAATTTATAGGTATTTCCATATTAATACGATTTTGCCTTATCTACGTAAAGCCTATTTTATCCGAATCTAGTGTGTGTGTGTGTGTGTGTGTGTGTGTGTGTGTGTGTGTGTGCGTATTTTGTCTTTGCAAAATCCGACTAATGGTCCACATAAATATGTACTGCGCCACGATGCTTCATTCAGATCGTAAAAACTGACCGATTTCTGTGTAGTAACTAACAGTAAGATACCGTATTTGACGTTACAATACAGTCGATATAAACAAACCAAATGTAATCATATGATACAAAATGGGATTGAACCACGAATGGCATGAACAAATGAACAAATGATCAAGTTTTGTTTCTTTGTTTTAAAAGCATTTTTTAAAACATTATTGGCTATATCATGTAAAGGAAGCAAGAATTAAGTGCCTACCCAAAGATACAACGAAATTTCCGACCCGGGCTGGCCTGGCGGCGGGGTATCGAATCAACGACATGGATTTCGAGTCCGACGTTTTACCAACAGAGCTGCCGCAATGAAATGATCAGATTTGTGAACTTCAGTTCTCCGGTGTAAATTCACGACTAAAAACAAACAACAGCAAAGAAAAACAAAACCTAAATGATGAAGATTTTAATGTTTGAAAGAAGGCTAAAATGAGGTCGCCATCATTGTAACCGTTGACCATTTTTTTCCAACCATAAATCCTGAGGAACAGTGCTGATAGGAATTATTTGTTGATATTAGCGATAATTATTTGTAGTTGGAGACTTGAAAAGGAAAGATTCGTCTCGTAATAAAGATTATATTTTTAATCTGTGAAAATAAATTTAATAGATATAATCACATCTTCAACCAAGAGACCCTACCATTCAATTTAATTTAGAATGATGAAGATTTATAAATTAACAAACTGACGACATGATGTAATACCACTGAAAAAATGACGATATTGGAAATAAAATATAGTTTTTTTTATCTTACTGTTTGAGGGTTTCCTTTGACAAGGCTTCTCTTGCGTCGCATATGATCTTCACGAGGCTATAAAAAAAATCACCGCCTCTTAGCCATAAAATAATATATTGGTTAACGAGAAAGATATTTATTTTATTATGCTGCGTGCATTAAATTTTTATATTAAAACTTTATATACAATCCATTTTGTATCACTTCGAGAAAAGTTATTATTTCACATTTTTCTAAACCAAATATTTATTAAAATGAAATTTAAAAAGAGCGACAAGGAATGAGAAACCAATGCTACAGATGACGTTTTACCGACTAAAATACTTTCATTTTTGTCAAATAGTCAAATTGTTCTGTTCTTGATCCCTAACTATGTCGTAAATAAACAATTGACCATAAAAGATAGGTTTTCAAATGTAAAGCTGACTTGCACTACTATAGATTCCTTTTCTAACTTGCAATTCTAGGTTTTTGGTAAACATTCGATGTTTCATTTATCAATGACAGGGAAAGGCGGTGCCGCTGCCATTAAAATGGAAAACGTCGGACAAAATTAGGTCATGCACCTGCACTTTGAATAGGTGTTACTCGGGTATTTCACAACCTTCCTTTAATATGGCGTATACATAATTTATATACATAAATCATGCAGTGCGACCAATTTCCACCCCAAATAATAAGTGTAGAACAATTGTTAGGCCTGGGTACTATTTCGAGAGTTAAAGTAATTTAAGAGGGATAGTAAATTTCTACGTAAGCCGCACGTTGTTAATTTCAGATACAGCAAAATACTGAACGATTTAAATTGACGGTATTATTTTATTGCGCCAGGGCTAAGATTACCTTCCTACAGTTGCAACTGTACCTATATATGCTGTAATCTCTGTTCGAAATAAGCTAAAATGAATAATTTGTAGGGGGAATTAACTCCGCCTTGGATGCAAGAGGTCGCGGATCGAAACTCCAGGCGAGTCAAACAAAAGACGTATTTTTAAAAATAAATGATGATAGCAGTTGCCTTGCTTGGAGCTCAGCGTTAAGAGGTTAGTGTATGGACTGGTCGATCTGGTGTCAGGATAATGTGATTGGGTGTGACATGATGCTGCATGTCTTGATGCCTCAGTGCTAGACATCGCTATAAACTGCAACACAGCAGACATCGTAGCGATATGGCTGAAAAATTGTTAAAGCTGCGTTAAAATTCAAGTCACACACACACACACACACACACACACACACACACACTCACACACACATGGTTTAGTGGGAATCGGACATGCTAACCACCGAGTCACCGCGGCTCTCTGAAATGACAGAATTTATGCATGTAATCTGTATTATAATTACCTTGTGTCCCTATACTTCCTGTCCAGAATATGCTGATGTTGTTGTTGTTGGGTTTAACGCCAATTTTCAGCACATGATAGGCTATTCATGGCGGCCAGTATTAATGGTGGAGGAAGAAGCCGGGAAATCACCGGAAAGAACCACCGACCCACGAGAAGCTACTGGCATGCTTTCTCACATATCCACATTCGCCGAATCCTAGACTCGAACACATGCAGACAGAGGTGAGATGGCAGTGATCCGTAACGGACAGCGCTTTAGACCACTCGGCCACTCGGGGCCCCAGAATATGCTGAGATTTTACTAAGTGACTACGAGGAGTTTATGTATGATTACTCTGAAGTTACGAGTATATTCAGTTACTAATAAGCAAAATAATTTGTTAGCTTTTTTAGTATTATATGTACTTGAAATAACTTCTGTAGATATGATGAACATCGAATAACTGACGATAAACATATCCGTTTAAAATAAAACAGACTCGCTTTTGTGAGCAGTAAATTATTTTATGTGAAAGATAGCTTTTTCATAATTCATTAGTGATGTCAGCCTACATAACATCAAAAAATATTTTTTTAAAAAAGGCCGTGCACCAGCTTCTGTGAGTTCCACCGATGCACGAAGGATAGATGCCGGGGATTTTTGAAAGTTAACGTATTTGATGTTGCTCCCTTCGGCGTCTCTCTCTCTCTCTCTCTCTCTCTCTCTCTCTCTCTCTCTCTCATACACAGACACACACACACGTGCGAATGTATTTATGTCCAATTATTCAACAAATAAAAGACTGTATTAATATGTTTCAGACCGCGAACAATGCATTATATTAAAAACAAAATATTTTGCATCTCTCTGGACATAAGTTTCACTATTACTAATAGTTTCATAAATGTCATATAGGCTTCATTGTGGTCGATGCTGGCCAGTACTACAAAACTATGTGTGATCACAGACACTTGGGACGGGATAGTGAACTAAACTGAAGTGTATTTTAGGAGTTATTTCCCATTTCTAACTTGTACCTACTGAAAAATCGTGCTAAAAAGCATACAATGCAGCATAAGTATATGTATCGTATTTAATGCTTAGGTGTTGACCCATAGAAGGCATTTGCACCGAGAAAAAAAATAAGTCGTTCTGAAATTTCCACCCAAATGTCGATATGAACATAAAAGAAGTATAGAACTTGAACCAAGACAAGCGTAAATGACACAAAATTAAGAAATATTGAAGAAGTATTTGAAAGTAGGTAGCGATAACTCAGATTTGGTGTGTGATACAGATAATTTAATATACACTATTATATCAGTTAGGAGGCGGTAGGTTAAAAGGTTTCGGCATTTTAGAATGAACATATTTTCTGGAAAAAAGGCAACATCATTATAGTTTGCAATTGCCACCTGATGATGTATATTTGAACTTACTGTGTAAAGTTTTGTTGTCAATTGGTATAGTAGATAATTATGTTTTATTTACAGCTTGGACAACAAGTATATTCACAATGATAAAGACATTTTGAAGTAATCATAACAAATTAGTCACATTGATTCATTTTCTATCTCCACGACACACGCTTCTTCTACAATGCAACTTTAGTTCAAGATTTTGTGGCAGGTAAAAAAAAGTGTTAGAATTAGACCCTGGTTATGATTTTTAACCAATTAAATTTTTTAATAAAATAATACTGCAAATATAGTTTACAGCTACTCGTTCACCTTACGTGACACATGCTGATTCCAAAATGTACTTAACAGTGTATATTTAAAGTCAGTATGTGAAGTAGTCAAATTTATCAATAATAGTCACATGGGGAGTCGGATGATCAATTGTTAAAATACATTGAAAAAGATGCTGTTCAATAGAGGTGATAAATTAGAAAACCATTAAGTCAAGTTTCTCCGTAATATAAGAGTTACAGCCCGGACAAAGTGGACAGATGGATGAACGGACGAATAAAATGTATCCTAATTATTGTTTCACATCCACGTTTCAATTTTGACCTACTTTCCTTTCTGCATTTAAATAGTACAGTGGAAAAGGCTCATGCAGCTTGTTTTATCCCCTCCTAATCTTACAACAAATACGAATTACCCCTCTCTCTCTATCCTAAAACCCCAACTCCTACACAAAACCCAAAGGCAGATATAATCCAATAACTTTACTTGTGTGCCTAGACTTTGCTTGTAACAGATGTTGCATAAGGTAATGCAATCAATACTCTCTCTCTCTCTCTCTCTCTCTCTCTCTCTCTCTCTCTCTCTCTCTCTCTCTCTCTCTCTCTCTCTCTCTCTCTCTCTCTCTCTCTCTCTCTCTCTCTCTCTCTCTCTGGTTATATCATCTTATACTCGGCTACAAATTAAGCCCACAGAGTTGATGATCTCTCTCTCTCTCTCTCTCTCT